ACCCCCCCCCGCTTCTCCCTGTGCTCTGCCTGATCCCCTTGTCTGACACGGGGAAACTGAGGCACCAGAGAGCGCGTCGCTCAAGGTCACGTAGCAGGCGCTAAAAGTTCACCTGCGCCCTAAAGTTATCCTGATTAGCAGAGCGCCCACAGCTAGGTGGTGTGTAACAGATGGTGCACATTTGCACATGCCTCAGTGCAAGTGACAAAAATTATTCCGCATGTGGATGGAAGAAATCCAAGCGAACGTTGCCCAGGAGCCTCAATGACGTGTTCTGTGGGGTGCCAAATGCCCCACGAAATCAGCCGGAGCCCAGGCCCACTTTTTTTTTTTTTAATGAGACTAATTTGTCTTTGCCTAGCAGCTAATAACTACTCCGTGGCATTAGTGAAAATGTCCTATGATCTCAGGTACTTTCACATTGTGGATGTTCTTAACCAGCAGGCAGGCTGGCGAAGTAGCAGAGCGGGCTTTTCTATGTGGACTGTTTCCACCAGCAGATGTGTATTCGCTACTGTACACATGCTTATGAATTAAAGCATCGCGTAGGAATCATTTGCCTCTTAATGAGATTGTCAAGAATTTTTTCTTTTTTTGGTACAGGGTGTCTTTTTTATGAATAATCAAAAGCAGCAGAAGCCAACGCTATCAGGCCAGCGTTTTAAAACTAGAAAAAGAGGTAAATATTAACTATTTTTGTTTCTAGCTCATGGCCAACTCTGTAGAAAAGCTGTTTTCCCTTATTGACTGAGTAAGCAATGAAAATTCTGTTGACTAATCTATTAGTAAAGTAACCAACCTCATTTTAACTTCCTTAGGTCACCCAATCACTTCCCAACTCTGCTCTAGTTCCACGTTCTCATTGCAGCCCCCAGCTTCCGACATTGGCTGTGGCTCCAGGGAAAGCCAGGAGTGGAGCTTCACTTGTCCTTGCACCCCTGTCACTTCCCTTTCTTTTCTCCCCATCTCTTAAGCTGTGGCCCTGCTCCCAGTCCTTGGGGCAGAGAATGCAAAAGTGTGTCCCTCAAAAGTGTGGGGACCGCATCTCTAATCTTTTAAGAACATAGCTATCCTATAAGCATGGGTAAATAAAAACCTAAAAGTTAACCATGAAGTAAATTTTTTACACCAGAAAAATATACTTTGTTGCAAGCTAAATCCTTTAAAATGTGCCTTGCACCATAAAAACAGCTTAAATTCTGATTACTCTCTGTTGAGGAGAAATAATACTTTGAGGTCATAGGTGCAGTTGTATATCAGGGACCTTATTTTGCTCTGTCAATTTCTTGAATGTGGGGAAGGTGCTTACTTCCTCCAGAAGGCTGGCTAGCTCATGCTTTTCAGTACTCTAGTGATTTCTCATTCTGTCCATAGTGACTATGAAAGCATCTGATTTTAGATCATGAATTCACCAGATTTGTCTCAAGTACAGGGAAATTAGGAATTAAATCAGTGATTGGGTGATCTTTGTCCCATCAGAGTTCTGTTTGTCCTCCAAGACATTTTGTTTTCTATTGGTCACACATGGGGTTCCTTGATGTTGTCCGCATAAGTGACGCGCAAAAAGCCAGTGCTGATTGCGTGCATGCCTTGCTGTCAGAGCTATGTGCTCCCTCTGTATCCAATCATAGTGCCACTATGGTTCAATCAGTACACCTTGCAAGTTCTAAGTACTCAGATGTAGCTAGCAAAACTTCCCTATCCTGGGAGACTGTTTTGGTTAACAATCTTGCAAGACTGGAGGGCTGCTCGTGCGGTCCACTCGCTAGTCTCGGTTGCCTGTCACTGACTTAAATTGTTTGCAGTAATAATGATAAAATTCATGATTGCATCAAAGTACAGACAATATTTTTTTTTTCTGGCTCGAATTTAGATGTGTTATTGGATGAAACACTGGTGAAGTGGAAAAATAGGGCTTTATTTTTGCATACACAATATTTCTAACTTCATTATCTTCCAAACATTGCTTCAATTTAAGTCTGTATTCTCACCTACCAGTGACTTTGCTACCTCCGTTCGTCTTGTAGATGGGTGTTCAATAAAAGATTGCCTCTTTTCCCAGGGTGTGTGTATACTATTGAGACTCTAATAGCTGTGTATAGAGATGTACATAGCTGTGTTGGCACAGATGCAGGTTTTTCCATAGATGTAGGAATGCAACCTCCTCAAAAGTTAGCTATGTCAGTGGAAACATGCTTCATTCTCATAACTGCATCTATACGTATGCTTAGAATGGCATAGCTATGTCAGTGAGAGGTGTGAAATGACTCGAGCTGGAAAAGCAATTGAATGAAACATTTGGGAGGACTTGATGGATTTAAAGCCCCTACCACTTTCTCTGTAGGAATCTCCCATCTAGTTGACAAAGAATAACTGACATGTTCAGGTCAATAGCTAATGCCAG